TTGCTTCACGCCTTTTTCGGGCGTCCGTGGCTTCCGCACTACTGGCAACTGCTCCCAACTCCTTTTTGCAAGGCACCGCCAGCATTTTTCCTCCCACCGGAGTGAGAGTCCCCATTTATCTAGTCACGTGAGTTTTCGACCTGTTGGGTTGTAACAAGTGTCAACTCCCATCTCTTTTATGGGACTAAATAAAGCTGCTGCAATTAAATAATTTCTTGCTCTTATAGCCAGCTTCTCCAGATGCTATCATCCTTCATATTATTACACTCATCAAGCCCGTAACAGTCCATCAAGGCCATGGTGGCCTCAAAAGGGACATTCTGTTGTTATCCTATAATAACAATTTCAAACTTTTGATCTTCAGAAACCTCATATTAAGACAGTTGTTAGCCATAGTAATTATGTTAAGTCTGCCATATTCATGTGGAGATTGATTGATTGATCTAATTTATATAGCTACCCACCTCACAAAACAAGCGATGCTGGGTAGCGTACAACAAGCTAAAACAGTTAATAAATACCTAACACTATTATCATTATTAATTATTAAAAACAATAAAAGCTATAAAAATAGAATTAAAACAGAATAGTAAATGAAGGGATGTTAATAATAATGGAGCCACCTCACTAGTTCACCTGTCCCCTGGGGTTCCCAGGCCTGGTGGCATAACCAGGTCTTGAGGGACCTACGGAAGTTCAGAAGTGATGAGGCCAACCTCACCTCAGGGCAGAGAAGATTCCACAACGTGGGTACCCCAGCAGAAAGGGCCTGCTGCCTAGGGCCCACCAAATGTAGTTCTCTAGATGACAGAACCTGTAACAGGCCCTCTCTGCCAGATCTCATGGGACAGGAAGATGAAATCAGGGAGAGATGGTCCCTCAAATAACCTGGTCCCATGCCATGAAGGGCTTAAAAGGTCAACATCAGCACCTTGAATTGGACCCAGAAACAAACTGGTAACCAATGCAGCTCACAAAGCAGAGGTGTAATGTGTGTTCTACCAGAAACACACACAACTGCTCACGCTGATGCATTTTTAATACAAGTTGCCAAGCAGCCAGAAATAATAAGTGGGTTTGCTTCAGGATGTTGGGGAGTAATCCGCTGGCCATTTTTATATTATGTAAGCAATAATTAATATCATTTCAGTTTTCAGGATGTGCTACAAGTCTGAAAGGATTTTGGATCTACAAGTTTGAAAGGATTTTGGATCTAAAAGAATCTTCCAGCAGCAATCCTTCTCCATAAACATTGCTTTTCCTTGATGTCTAAAGCTAGCTAGAGCTATGCATAGACAGTGACACAGACCTAGCATCATAATAGCTTGATGCATTGGGGATTGGGCTGTTTTGCATACAACCTAGTGCATACTCAATATTTCCTGTAGAAGCAAATAGTGGGGCCTATAACTGCCTTCATGCATAATGCCAAATCATGTTGTGAGCCGCCCAGAGTCCCCCATTGGGGGGAGATGGGTGAGGGACAAATTTAATAAATAAATAAGCCAGCTGTAGCTTGTTACACAAATGTTGGCTTCAGTTCAGCATATGATTCCATATCATTTTAAAGAAATGTATCTGTCATTACTCACCAATGTTACTCTTGAGAGACTCTTTATTAACTTCCAAAGAATCATACCAACCCACACTATTTTGTAACTCTCCAGAAAGGAAAGCATCTATCTATCTATCTATCTATCTATCTATCTATCTATCTATCTATCTATCTATCTATCTATCTA